TCAAGTCCCAGCATTGGCACAAAAGGAAATCAAATACAATTGCTTTTTTAAAATTTCTGTCTGTCATGGGGCTTGAACCCAGGGCCTGGGCACAGACCCTGAACTTTTTTTGCTCAAGGCTAGCACTCTACTCCTTGAGCCACAGCACTGCTTTTGGTTTTCTGGTCATTAATTGTAGAAAAGAGTCTCACAGACTTTCTTGCCTGGAGATGTAATCCCAAAGCAAAACCAGACAAATAAATAAGCAAAATATATTGTTTTTGATGTATGTGGAATAATAATAATAATAATTAACAAGCCAGTGAACCAGTGGCCTATACTTGTAATCCAAGCTACTCAGGAGGCTGAGATCTGAAGATCTCAGTTTGAAGCTACCTTGGGTAGGAAAGTCTGTGAGACTCTTATCTTCAATTAACCATCAAAAAGCCAGAAATGGAGCTGTGGCTCAAGTGATAGAGTGCTAACCTGGAGCAAAAAAGCCCGGGGACAGCACCCAGGCTTTGAGTTCAAGCCCCTGCAGCAGCACATAAAAAAAGCAAGCATATGATAAATTTGATATTGAGAATCAAAAATCCTTAGAAGGAGATAAAGTAGGCTGAAAGGAACAGGAACAACAATGACAACAACAACAAATGACCAGGGCTAGGAATGTAGCTTAGTGGTAGAGTGCTTGCCTAGCATGCATGAAGCCCTGGTTTGATTCTTAAGTACCATATAAACAAAAAAGCCATAAGTGACACTATTGATCAAGTGGTAGAAAACTAGCCTTGAGCAAAAGAAGCTCCGGGACAGTGCCCAGGCCTTGAATTCAAGCCCCAGGACTGGCAAAACAAAAACAAGCAAACAAACAAAAAACCACGGCCAATGCTTAGAAAATTCACAAACTGTGTTTCTCAGAGCTTATGCCCACTCACCAACCCATCAAAACCATTAGAAAAGCTAGAATGTCTGGGTGCTGGTAGCTCACACCTAGCTACTTAGGAAGCTGAGATTTAAGGGTAATGATTCAAAGCTAGGCCAGGCAAAAGTCTATGAGAGTCATCTCCAATTAACCATCAGAAAACTGGAAGTGGTACTTTGGCTCAAAGTGGTAAAGCACTAGTCTTGAGCAAAAGAGCTCAGGGACAGTTCCCAAGGCCCTGAGTTCAAGCCCCACAACCAACCAATAGAAATGCAAGAATATTCATTTACCAAATGATGATGTGAAGTACAAGAGTTATTTAACACAAGGGAGTGGAACAGAACCAGGGCTAGGGATGGAGCTCATTGCTAAAGTGCTTGTTTCTACTGGGGTTCCTCTGTTGGATCCCCAGTTCGAGGAGTGGGGGAAAGTGCTTATTCACATCTGCACATTTCCTGCACAATGAAAGTTCTGTGCAAGACATGTTTACTGTATACAGACAGAAATAAATTGTGGCATCTTGAAGAACACTTAAAATCAGAGTCTACCCTAGCCAACAACCAATAGCCTGATATTAGGAAAATTATTCTCAATGGGCTCCATCTATAAGTAATAGTTAGATTTGTTACTGAACTGCCTTAGAAATTTCCAAATTGAGTTCCACAAAACATTATCATTTCTTAGAATGTTAATATGAGCTTGATGAAAAGGAATTCTATACTCTAGTAAGTTTGGGAAGTACTGTTCTTGACCCCTAATTTAGTTCATGTTCCCCTAACCTTTAGCCTCCTGTATTTGAAGATAGAGCCTTTAGGTTATTGATGTTAATCGAGGTTAAATCAAGTCATAAAGATCTGACCCAGTACAAGAGGTGTAATTACAAGAACCCTGTGCTCTTCCCTCTCCCACCTTCCAGTCCCTTCTTCCCCATGGATACCTAGTGAACTTTTTCCAACAGAAATTCTTCTGAAAGCCAGGTTATGCTAGTTAAAACCCGTAGTCCCAACTACGCAGGAAGATGAGGCAGAAAGATAGCCTAAGCTCAGAAATTTTAAAACCATACGAAAAACCCGTCTCAATGTTTTTTTCCTTTTATTAAATCTTTAAGTAGTTGTACAAAAGAGTTGCTATTTGACAAAACAGTTGATGAATACAATACATCTCTCAAGAGTTTCACCCATTCTTCTCCTACACACCCCTCCCTTAATGCTTCATAATTTTGTAGGATATACATTTGCATTCTTTTTTTTTGACCTATCTATTCTGACATATCTATATCCAAGAAAATTTGACTGCCTACTGTCAGACACCATTCTGAAACTCATGGAACTGAAGGTGCTAAAGTGCAACAGAACTCGGCTTGCAAAAGTTCAATCTGTACACATAGCTTCCTTCTGAACAAGGACAGGGCAAGTTTGTCTACCACCAGCAGATGGCAGTAGCATCCATTTCTTAAGTACTTTTTTGTTTTGTTTTGTTTTGTTATAAACTGTTTAATTGAGCTCTTTCCGCAATACAAGCCATCTGGGACAGGAGTGGAATGTACTGTGGCCAGTGCTGGCTCCACAGACAATACTGAGCCTGTAATCGCTGGTATCAAAATATACATCTGTCACCATAGAAAACCGCATGTGCTGCCTGCGCATCTTACAACAGGTATAAAAAAATTATAACTATTTACACCCTTGCTACACTCCTTTATGGAACTTATGGAACCTCAGGACCCAAGGGTACCCCTCTTGCTGGGGACAAGTTGAGCCACAGGGCAGAGCATTTAAGACCAGGACTTGAGTCCTGCACCTGGGGCCTCAGCATCAGAGTCAGACAAGAAACAAAACCTGGGAGAGAACCACCCCCTTTGAGTGTCCTTCTCCAAGTCCACCATCTAGGTGCCTTGCCTGGGCTCCCTGGAGACAACTTCCACCATTCCAGAAAAGCCACTTTAAAGAGCAGCTGAAGTGACCTTAACAGACCAGAGATTTTATTTTTTTAAAAAAAGAGAAATCCGTTTCCCTGTTTTTTAAAAAATTAAATCTAGTCCACCTTGCTGATTTTCGGCTCCAGCCGCAGCAGCAGCAGCAGGGTCCCTGCCTGCTCAGCCGGGCCCAGGGCCATGTGTGCCTTGTAGGGCATGAAGCTGCAGTGGGTGCCCAGACCAACTGGCTTCTTGTGCCTTAGAAACCTGTCTGCCATGCACCATTCACGCATCGACCACAGGCACTTGGGCGACTGGCCTAGGCTCTTGCTGCAGGTGAATAAGGCAGCCACAGGCAGCCACGCCTTCCCTCACGATCCTGTGTCCTATGCTGGCAGGAAACAAGGCCAGCACCTTTTAATCAAGTGACATAATCATCCCAAGTCCCCAGCTGCCCAGGGGCTCTGGCCTGTCCCTGCCTCCGCCATGGATCCTCTTCCTAACCTTTGTATTATAGGTGGATGCAGTCGCAGACATATCTGTGCCTAGCAATATTTCCAGTTGACCAAATATCCTAATCCTTTTTCATTTATATGCAAGAGACATAGTTTTAAGTAACTTTTTATAGCAAGATGATGCAACGGCATGAGTGTAATCTAAGCTTTCTCCTTGTGGATCCAGGCTTCAGGAGCAGGCGGCTGCGGCTGGCTGGCTCACGTGCAGGCAGCCCAATCCTCAGCCCGGCTTCTTTCTGAGCCTCCAGTTGCTTTACCCACTCACTTGTAATCTGCCTTGAAAAACTCTTTAAAACTTTCAGGGTTTTTTTTTTTTCCTTCAAATTTTGGACCAAAGTTTTGTTTCTTAAGTACTTTTGTTTCCCTTGTCATGGGCTTCTGTAATGGAACCTGTAATCAGGACTACTGTGTGGTACTCATGTGTGACCTAGACATGGTTATATCACCTCTCTGGGATGAGGCTTTCTTAAATGAATAATTGAGATGCAAAAGAATTGACTCAAAGGTTGTCTTGAGAACTGAACAAAATAAGACATTTAAAGTCTTCACCATGAAAGGCTCATAAATGTTCACAGTTAATACTTGGCATGTTTGATATCATTCTCTTGCCATTTGACAAAATGTCAACTTGCCATAAAAGGAATAAAATCAGGTGGTTAAAAGTAGCATTGCCTCCCAGAACAATAATGATATTAGCAATAGAGGAAAAGGAAATTCAAATAGCTAAAAATGCAACAAAGGGAAAGCACAAACTTTAGAATATCATTTGAAAGAGAACAAGGAATTGTGTATATTTTTAAATGACTGCTTTTCCTCCACAGATCACTGTTAAAATACTTTGCTTGTCTGACAGTAACTCCCTAATTGCAGAAGGAATTGTGGATTCTTTGTAGACCTCTCATTTGACAAAGTAGTTGGCTTGCAAAGGGAGCTCTGAGGGACACAGCCAAGGCAATTACAGAGCTATTAGGAAGTTGAGTTTATTGTTCCTTGGACAAAGGAGACAGTTGTTTTAAGACTTGGACCTCCGGAATGACTCAGTTACATAAAATGAGCCAGAATTCAGAAATTGGAAGGCTGAGTCAATTTACCTCTTCTTGAAAAGACTGGGGGAAGCAAAACTAGGGAATAGTATTGGGGTTGAGGGTGGAGAGAACTTGGGTCTTTGTAAATGCTTTTAAGAAGAATTGCTTGAACAGCTATGGCTCTCCCAAACAGGGAATTTTCTAGAAATAATCTAGATAAGCAAATATCAGTTTATTGAAGGAATTCAGCCATATGGGAACAATTATAATGCTTCAGAGCATGGATGGTTACAGTAGGATCTTGAGATAAAATACATCCATAACTTAGAACCATAAAATGGCAAATAAGGTGGTTATTTTTACCTCCCATACAACTAGAGTGAAGGTGGAAAGGTTTTGGGGCTTGAACTTAAGACCTCAAGCTCTCACTTGGCTTTTTTCCTATCTGGACTGGCACTCTAAAACTTGAACCATACTCCACTTCCTAATTTTTGCTGGTTAATTGGAGATAAAGAGTCTAACAGGTTTCTTGGCCTGGGCTACCATTGAGCCACCAGAACCCAGCTAGATTTCAATTTAGTTAAGAAATTTGAAAAGATTTCATAAATTGCTATCTTGTCTTTTAAATTACACTTATTTCTTACCTTCACTTTAAAGACATCTTCTTGGAATTGGTCCTGACACTCAGTTGTTGAGAAAAGAAGCAAATAGATTAATCCTGTGTATATAGATAAACATCAAAAAATAAGAGTGTGAAAAGAATTATGTTCACTAATGAAACCAGTTTGATGTCCTTAATTTTTGTGATTGGTCAATATGCTAAAAACACAAACGCCCAAGTTCAGTAAAACAAAACAAAAACATAATTATAGGTAATCTTTCAGCATAAACAAAATAATTTGATGAGATTTCCTTACTTTTATTTTTTATGTCAATCTTACCATGGTAGAATTCTGAAGAGAGTCTGTCAGGATCCATCATGGCCATTCAGGGGGCCATGTGGAGGCAGGCAGGAACAGGAGAAAGATTATTATAAAGTTTATTAGTGGGGCAATATCTCTTCCAGGAGAGGGAGCAATATGGCATTTGCCCCGATCCAGGTGGGTAGCTCTGGAGGTAGTGGCATGCGCAGGTAGGTCTGGGTTGGAAAGAGGGAATGGCCAGCTATATTGAGGGAACCCTAGGGCAGGGAGGAGCTTAGGTCTGGGTGAGGCCTGGGGGTGGGGATAATGCTAATAGACTCCATGGCCCCTGCTTTTGCCTATATTCTCTCTCTCTCTCTCTCTCTCTCTTTTTTGTTGGTTGTAGGGCCTGAACTCTGGGCCTGGGCACTGTCCCTCAGCTCTTCAGCTCAAGGCTAGCACTCTACCACTTGAGCCACACTGGAAGCACCACTTCCAACTTTTTCTGCTTATGTGGTGCTGAGGAATTGAACCCAGGGCCTCATGCATGCAAGGCAAGCACTCTGCCACTGAGCCACCTTCCCAGCCCCTGTGTTTTACATTTTAAAAGTGCATTATCTTTGGAAATTATCGTGTCTCAGATTAGCAATCCTAGTTATTAGGCTCAAACACAGCCACTTATAACTACTTAATTGGCCAAAGCAGACTATAGCTAATCACATATGTAATGACAATCTGTTTCACGTAGAGTTTTTGACAGTCTTTTAATTACAACCAGATAAGCATGGATGAGCTTAAAAGCATTCAGGTTGGAGGGCAGGTAGTCTGAAGAAGTTCTTTTTCTGCAGCCTTAGCAGAGGCGGGCAGATTTCAGTACACATTGCAAGCTACATTTTCTAGGCAGACACCAGAAAACATGTTGCCCTGTTCTGGGATGCTGGCTGGGTTTTACAGCTTCATAGACAGTGCTCCTTCAAGTCACATTTGAGCTTTGTTTCAAAAAAAAAAAAAAAAGGAGTGGCTATAATTTTCAGTCAGTCAGTCAATTATAAGGGTGGTAATAGAACATTCATTTGGATCCATTCCTTCAGAGATTCCAAGTGATTCAGGAATTTGCTGTGATAATGATATATTTTAAAAATTGAAACTAAATGTTCTTTCCTTCCTTCCTTCTTTCCTTCCTGTCTCTTTCCCCTTTTCCTTCCTCCCTCCTTCCCAATCTCTCTCTTTCCCCTTCTCCATCTCTTAGTGAAAGTGATACTAAAGTTGATTCAAAAGAATCACTTTCAATAGCCTGAAAGTGGGTCATCTCTAGGGTGGAAACAACTGTAGCTTTCTTTAAAAGGAGGAAAGAGTCCGGAGTTACAGGATCGCCAGACAGCCTTGTCTTTATCCTCTCCTCCTCTCCAGGCAAAGAAAAACATCTTTGTCTTTATTTTCACAAGTTACCACATGGTTTGGAACCTTCAGGGCTATTTCTGAAACTTCATTGATATGTTGCAGAAGAGTCCTCCTAAATACACAAGCTTGAAAGGCAGTTTTGAGGTGTTAATTTATGTTTATTACTAGCAAATATATTAATACATTTAGGAAATATATAGCTTAAAGAAATTGCCACATATTGAAAGAATTGGTTGGAGACATGAGGTACAAGTTCAAAATGAGTTACTGAATGTTTATTGGGCACCCACTTTACCAGAGGTTGTTGAGGCTGAGATGGCTTAGGGGTGAAGTGTTTTTCCTGAATAAGCAGTACCTTGGGCTTCATCCCCAATGCCTTAAATACATGCATATGCGCATGCACGTGTATGTGCATGCGCACACACACATACACACTCACACACACACACACACACTTCCAGTCTTTAATTCACTCCCTGTCTCAAAACAAGAAAAAAACCCCAAGGAACTGGAGCAGAGGCTCAAACCTGTAATCTAAACTATTGATGAGGCCAAGATAAGGGAGGATTGCAGTTCCAGGAAAGCCAGAGCAAACAAAAAGTTATTGAGACTCTATGTTACTCTTGGCTTGGTGGCCACTTCCTGTGATCCCAATTATGTGATAGATACCTTAGTCGGAGGATCTTGGTGCTGGCCAGTGAACAACAACAACAACAAAAGTAAAAAACAAACAAACAAACAAAAAAACCCATAGGCCAACACTGGTGGCTTGTGCTACTTGGGTGGCTGAGATTGGAACAATCACTGTTCAAGGCCATCCCATGCAAAAAAAAAAATCCTAAATACTCCATTGTAGTGAGGAAAGCTGGGCACTGAGGCCAGTGCCTGCTATCCCAGAAATGTCACAGGAAGCTTCAAATAGAGAGATCATAATTCAGGAGCCCACCTAGGCAGGAAGCAAGATACTATCTCCAAAATAATCAACCCGGAAAGGGCTGACAGTGTGGCTCAGGGGCAGAATACCCAGCAAGCAGGAGGCCCTGAGTTCAAACCCCAGTACTGCGGAAGAGAACCATCAAAATACACTAAAGATTAAGAGATTGGGGTGGTGGCTCAAGTAGTAGAATATTTGCCTAAGGCAAGAGACCAACTTCAAATCCCACTAAAAAGCAAAATCAATAACAACAAAAATGAAAGGTGTCCGCAAATATTTCAAGAGTTAAATAGCAAATGCAGACATGTATACAAGCAACAAAACAGTGTTTTAGGCCTAGGGATCCCAGTGACCCGAAGACCCTTGGAAAGTTTTCTCAAAGAAAGTACACATAGCATAGGCCTGAAAATAGATAAGAGATAGCCTTCAGAATGAGAGATTCTTGGAAAGGTTGTAGAGGAGACTGTAGTCTAGCTGTAACTGCAGGGGTAGGGGCTGAGAAGATGTGGGGTGAGGTGGGGTGGTGTAGGTTAGAAGGAGAGGAACTGGCTTGCAAATGCCCAAAAGGCAATAGAGGGTTGGGTTAACCAGAGGCTGAAGGTTATTCTTTCCTTTTCTTTTCGTTTTTCTCTTTCTTTCCTTCCCTCTTTCTTTCTTTCTTTCTTGTTTTGTTGTTGCTGGTGGATGTGGGGCTAGAACTCAGGCCCTGGGCACTGTCTCTAAGCTTCTTTTGTTCTCAGCTAGCACTCTGACACTTGAGCCACAGAGCCACTTGCAGCTTTTTCTGTTTATGTGGTACTGAGGAATCAAACCCAGGGCTTCATGCATGCTAGGCAAGCACTCTACCAACGATCCACCTACCCAGCCCTTGAAGATTATTCTTACAGAAAGCTGGGTCCTTAGGAATGTTTAATAGTAGATTACCAAATACCTGAGATTCCTTGATTTAAATCCGTAAAATACGGCTCTTGATTCCACAGTCCCAGGCCTTCCCATTGCCTGTGAGTGGCGAAGGAAGCACACACTAATACTGTTGGCCCTCAAGTTGGCCGCCTGGGGATGGAACTCGGGAAAGTTGGGGGGAGTTGGGCTTGAAGTGAACAGATTAAGCAGCAGGTAAACAGTGTGGACCCCGAGGACGATCCGCCTTGAGGAACCCGAGTGTGGGTGAAAGGCTCATCCCGGGCGCCCTCTCCATTCGAATGTCTGAGTTCGCAGACGGCGGCTGCGGGACACCCGCAGCGCACCGCCAGCGTCTTCCCACCATCTGCTTCCTTCTGCGGGTGGCGTCTGGCTCTTGCTCAGCAGAAATGGCAAATGAATAGCATTGATGAAGTGACAGTATGACTGAAGGAAGGACAGATAAAACGTGAGTCAGAGATCCCAGGGGAACCAGCTTCCGGGTCAGCAGGTGCGTGGCGAGGCCAGCCTCCAGCCCTCGGGGTCCCGTGGCCTACCCCAAGGTGGGGACCGGGAATCGGGAAGCCCCGGCCCTCTCGGCTGTCCTCCCCGGCAGCCAGCAGAGGGCTCCCGGGCTCGCTCTCCTCGCTCCCTCCCTCCCGCCTCTCGCTCGCTCGCCCGCCCTCTCCAGACGCGAGGAGGGGAGGGGAGGGCCGCCGTGCCCGCCGCCACCGCCGCCACCACCGCCGCCGCAGCCCCGAGCATCGCCGGTTCCCGCCCGCGCTGGGCACCGAGAGCCCAGGCCAGGGAGGGAGATCCGGGAGGTGTGCGGAGGCCGGCTCTCGCGAGGCGGAGAGGAAACGCAGGAGGAGGGGGGGCGGGAGAAGAGAAGGAAGAGGAAAAGGAGGTGGAGAGGAGAAGGAGCCGGAGAAGGAGAGGAGGAGGAACAGCAGGAGGAGGAGACGAGGGTGGAGGGGCAGAGGAGCTGAAGCAGGAGGAGGAGCAGGTGGAGGGGGGTAGCCAAATAGCCCGCTCCCGGCTCCAGAGCCAGCGCCAGCGCCAGCGCCACATTCCGCCCGCACCACCTCCCATTCAGCTCGCTCCGCCCCGCTCTCCCGACCCGCCTCTCTCCCCACCCTAGTCCCTGAAGAAGTTCTTTTTCTGCAGCCTTAGCAGAG